TCTCTCTGTCTAGCTATATATATAGTTTATATATATATATATATTGATTTATTTATATTCTGTTTTCTAATTCTATACATCGCTTGCTTGTATTGCACTGTTATCGTCGCGCATTGCAAGTTAGTTAGATCCTAGTGAAACTAACGCCGACCATTAACGAGGTTGCCGGACTTCGTATTTTTATCACATCTCTTTCATGTAAAGCTTCAAATAACGCTAGTATTTTTATCGGATCTATTTGCCTCCCCTTTTATACGTCGGAATACGCATTCCATGAAAAACAATCTCTGGCTGAGCTTCGCAAAATATCTCGCACGTGAAAATTTCAAAGTAGGCAGCTTGGTATTTTATTATTCACATTCTGCGAACTGGCGTTATTTTTTTGTTTTTTTGTTGTTTTTCCCGCCGAGGAGATATTTCGTGCTCAATTCCTGAGCTAAGGGCCTGGAAAAAAGCTCGCGATAATAATCTTTAATAATGATAAAGCCATCACGCACATTTGCGATCCCGGTAATAAATAATGAAGATAAGTTGGCTCGTCCGACCCCCTTCGTGTCCTACTACGGATATGTATCTGTTTACACGATCCCTTCTTCACTCCCGCGTGTGCTTATTCAAACGTGTCTACATCTACACCGGCGTTTCCCCGACCGCCATTTCTACGCCATCCACGATAGTTGGCACGATCCCCTGCTTCCCATGAAACGCCCGGACCAGTTCTCCTGGTACGTACAACAAAGGACGACGTTCCTCACTGAATGCTAATTGACACCCAACCACAACGACCCATGCTAAATTCTGTCCCAAAATTTCGTCTGTGTCGTGCAGCTAAGCGTTATTATTAGTTGGATGTTGCCTGGCATTAGTCTCGCTGTAAACTTGCTGAATATTAAAATTGCAATTTATTGAAACTTTAATTATTAAACTGGATTATTATTATTCGAAATGTGTACTACATCAATACTTGAAATATTAAAAGCTTGTAGGAGAGATAATGGATGGATTGGCTTTGTTAACAACGTAAATTTATTTGTCACTTTCCACTTTATAAAATTTTAAGCGCGAAATGAGATGGTCAGATCTGACAATCGGCAATCTAGCGCAATTAATATTTTGTTATTAATTATTAAAGTGTGTCATTTGCCATCATTGGTATAATCAATCTCGGATAAATAAGCGATCATTTTATAGACTTCGCATAAATAGACCGTAATTTATTTAATTTACTCTTTATAGCAATTTAACTGATCAACGTGAAATAAAAGCTGAACCAGATGTACAACTTATTTCCCCGCGGAATTTGCACAGCAACGTCAGCGGAAGTTTGCTTAAAAACTCTATTGGCCATCGCAGCCTCCACTGCAGTTTCGTAACTTTGCAAATTCACTCGAGCTTTGAAAGACTCTCTCTCTCTCTCTCTCTCTCTCTTCTTCTCTCACTACTA